CCCACAGGAACTGTGTTCTAGAAATAAATTCCTGACACAACCAATATCTGATTAACAGGAATATTATTACTAGTCTTCTCGACTAGATGTCATCCTTTTTTTCCTTGTTACAATGTTACAACTGTATTGTAAGAATGTGACCCCTGTCATCACCTCTTTTCTTTTTTTCTGGAAACTTTTTACTTTACTACATTTGAAAGACATAATTTTTACTCCACTACATAGACTCGATGTGTACTTTTTGTTGGGGTGGTAGGAGTGTTAAATTAAAAAAAAGATGATTTTGTTTTTGTTTTTTATTTTTGTTTTTTGGGTCAATTCAGTTGTTTAATTTCTATAGGTTTTAAACATTCTAAAAGCTCTTAATTCCTCAGATACTTCTAACTGGAAGGTGTATTCACTAGGTCAGAGGCATACTGTACTAAGTATTATATACAACAATGCAACAATAATAAAATAATGTATTTACATTTACATTTTACTTTTGATTTGTTGAGTTCTTTAAAAAAAATAGTACTTATGTAGGCCTACTTTTACTTCAGTAACAGAGTAATATTGACCATTAGTATCTGTACTTTCACTCAAGTAAGGAAGTTGTGTACTTTATCCACCTCTGTGTATGTGTCAAATTTTACTTTAAATCAAAATTAATTGAACAGCTTGATTCAACTGTCATTGTTTTTAATATATTCTTCAATATCAGTTAGATGCCATACCTGCCCGAAAAAACAAACAAACACGTCAATGACCCAGAACATGGTTTATAGTAAACTATAAATATAATTGGTAACACTTTACAATAAGGTTCATTAGGTAACATTAGTAAATGCATTAACTAACATGAACTAACGTTGAGCAATGCATTAGTTACAGTGTTTATTAATCTTTGTTAATGTTAGTTAATACAAACTAACAGCTGTGAGCAATGCATTAGTTACAGTGTTTATTAATCTTTGTTAATGTTAGTTAATACAAATACAGCTGTTCATTGTGAGTTCATGTTAGTTCACAGTCCATTAACTAATACAACCCTTGATTTTAATAACGTATTAGTAAATGTTGGAATTAATATTAACTAAGATTAATAAATGCTGAAGAAGTATTGCTCACATATATTGTACATGTTAACCAATGTAGTTTACTAATGTTAACTAATGAACCTTATTGTAAAGTGTTACCATATAATTAAAGAAACTTTCTTTCTTTTTTGTAAAGCATGTCATTTTATGATTTCCACAGATTCAGTGGGTGGCAAGAACATCAGTCTGACCCAGCCAAAGTTGTGCAACCCTAAACATGTTGGCCTTACTGGCAAGTGCGGCATTACTATGTTCATTTCCCTTTTATATGGTCAAGTTTCCTTACTCACAAACTTCCTCTTTAATCTGTGTCTCTGGGATATATTTATAGTTATTTAGTCAGAGACAATAGCCCCGGTTTACATAGTTTACGTTTGCCTAGTGGAGGATATTAACACACGACTTTAAGTTCACTCGGGAACTCGATCGGACCTTAAAGAGAAGTTATTCGCATAAACATTTAGACAACTGTCTTCTTCAGCATGAAAAACAGCTGGGTGCCTCTTCATCAGAGGTGTGGGCAAGAGCTGAGTATCATGGGTCAGGCTATAGGAGAAGAGGGAGACCAGAGCCTCGAGGTCATTTTGGGAAACGTGTATAGAGAATGAAGGGAGGAGATTGAGTAGGAGGAAGAAGAAGGAGTGGCACGAACGAGAAGACCACTGAGAAAGAAGAGTGACCGAAGTCATGATTCAAATATGAAGCCACAAAAATGATGATGTAAAACAGATGAATGTGTCAAAGCACAATCCCTCCCTATTGAACTATTCTTTTCTTTCTTCTAAACAATGAGACAGACGGACGGACAGGTGCATTGTGGGCCACGCCACTGACACCAAGACATCCCACAATCATGGAAGATTCTATGTGACTCACTGCAGACTGCTGTACATGAGTCAAGATCAACAGTTTATGTTAAATCTAGATAAAACTGCCAAACGTAGCGAGGCTATTTTATTGATAAGAATTTCCAAGAATCTCAATGCTTCGAATGTGTGAAGATAATCTCTCTGAGAGGATATGCACAAAACTGACTATTATGCATTTAATCATAATTGTGATGAACCTAAAATATAAACTTCTAACTAAAACAAGCTTAAGATGTTGCTATTTAAACATTCAAAGAGTATATTGGTTCCTTCTTTACTTTATGACCAGCTTTGGTTTTCAGCTCTCACTGAGTGGGGTTTCCTGAAACTGAGAGGAATATTTCCTTTGGACACATTCATGAACCATGGTCAGACTCAGAGTATATTGTTCCTCATTTTTTACTCCATATCTCAAGTTTTGTTTCTCTTCGCAGAGCCTGTGATGAGGACAAGCAGGGTGAACAGAGGGTTAATGACTCAGAGATGCCAAAAACCGCCTCCATTCAATTTAAAAGAAAGGAAGAGAAGATTATCAAATGATTATTCGAGGTTACATTTTTTTGATTAACCATCTTAAAAAATTTGAATACTGTGATGGTGATTCAATACAGCACTTGCAATAGAGGTAAATGGGGAAACTTTCTGAAGTGTGTTTTTCAGCAATGTGAAACTTGATTTCATCAAAGCGCGTCTTTCTCTTAAAACTTGTGTATTATCTGTACATTTTTTACAGTCCTATAGGGCGTTTTATGTTGTCACGGCTACAAAGTTTTAATACTTGATATAACTTCGTACAGGCAAAGTTAGTAAGTCATTTTTTCATGTTAACACGCCCATCGTTTAAGTCTTTTGGGCTTAAAAATTACTCGCTGTTTCAAAAGTATAGCCAAAAGTTTTAAAGGAGTAGTTCACTTTTCAAAAAACATTTGCTGATAATTTACTCACCCCCATGTCATCCAAGATATCCATGTCATTTTTTCTTCAGTCGAAAAGAAATTAAGGTTTTTGATGAAAACATTCCAGGATTTTTCTCCATATAATAGACTTCAATGGTAACCAAACGGTTCAAGGTCCAAAAAGACAGTTTCAGTGCAAACTGTTCAAAGGGCTTTAAACGATTCCAGACAATGAATAAGGGTCTTATCAAGCGAAACGATCTCTCATTTAAAAAACAAAACAAAAAAAAAACAAAGTTTAAGTTTTATAAGCTCAAATGGTCGCCTTGCTCTGTTAGGGTTAGGGTGTGATGCGCGTTCGTGACTCTCCTATTCGAACTCGTTCATCAAAATGAACGAATCTTTTCCGAAGTCAACTTGTTTCGTTCTTTGAATAAACCAAATTAAACGGAAAAAAAAATTGTTCATTTTGATAAACGAGTTCGAACAGGAGAGTCACGAACGCGCATCACAGAACACAGCAAGGCGACCATTTAAGCTTATAAAACGTACAACTTATTTATTTTTTTTTTTTAAGTGAACAATCGTTTCCCTTGATAAGACCCTTATTCATCGTCTGGAATCGTTTAAAGCCCTTTGAACAGTTTGCAGTTTGCACTGTTTCCACAGTTTGACCATTTGGTTTCTATTGAAGTCCATTATATGGAGAATCCTGAATGTTTTCATCAAAAAACTTAATTTCTTTTCGACTGAAGAAAGAATGACGTGGACATCTTGGATGACATGGGGGTGAGTAAATTATCAGCAAAAGTTTTTTTAAAGTGAACTACTCCTTTAATATTTACGGATTGTCCCCATTCGGTTGCATTATACAGTAAGTGCCTCGCTGTAACGCAGACTTTGGCTCTTTTAAAGTAGGGACAACAAGTCTAAATACATTTTTGTAGTAATCAGCTGCAAATGTTGTAAATTTGGGTAAACTGGTATCGAATCCCTTTAAGAAACATCTTCGAGGAGCAAAAATCAAGTATGGAGGTTTTCAGTCTGCTTTTCCATAGATAGACAATAGCTGAAGTCCTGCTCTGTTCTCTCTCACCGTCCTTTGCTTTCTCTGTCTCTCTCTATCATCATCTGCCTATCTGCTTTTGAGCAGAACCACACCAAACATCCTGCTCACTGCTACTACAGAGTCAAAAGTTCACTTCCCCAGTTCAACTTTACTCCTTTGTAACCGTTCCATTACCAGAAGCACTTTTCGTAGGTTCAGATTGCTGGAGCGTAAAAAACACAACCAAACATCTCACCTGACCCCTGACCCCGACTCACACACCTCTATATTCTCAGAGCCGTCAGCGAGACTGCAGAGACACTTAATATTCTCTACGCTTTTGGAACCGAAGTGGAAAATTTCTTCTTCTTCTTTTTTTTTTTTTCTCTTGTTTTGTCTGTCGGGGAGCAGGAAAGCTAGAGCGATAGATTTTCGATGAGAGCGAGCTAATGAATGGTGGAGAAGGGGAGTGTGAGATTTATTTTCCCACCACTGAAATCCACTTCAAACGGACTGCCACATCTCCTCAGCGAGTATTAATATGTCTGCGGTCAAAGTTTTAACTGTTATGATAGCTGTAATATTGTTCTATGCCTCGAGTCAGAAGATTTGTATTCCGTTTACGCTCTGGGTTTCGTTTGGATACAAACAAACCTCTGTGCCCAGACTGTTTTCATGTGTTTTGCAAAATTAAGTTGAGAGGAATTTCTGGATCTCGGCTGTCCACTTAAGAGTGTTGGGAAATTTCAGCATCTGTCTCGCCCCAAACAAGCTGGTTTCATGCGTGTGGTTTAATAGTACATGTATACAAAACCTCACTAGGAGTCTAATCCTGCCTCTCGGCAAAAAGGTCAGCTAAAGTTTCTGCAGGCCCGCCCAGAACAAATTGGTCAATCAACTTCAGAAACTATGCTTCCCTCCTTACCAACCCGGCCAAGTGTTTATCATTGCGGCGAATTATTGATAAACACACAACATTTCTTATACAGCATAACGTTAACAGTAATCGGACTTGCTGTCTGGCATTTCGTTTAGTGCATGTGTGAGTTTCAAACTGTGCTTTGTAACTCTAAGTACCTTCAAGTGTACAGAGAAACATACAGAATTCTTATCAAGAAATCATTTTTAATTTACAAATTTGCCTTTTATGGAAATTAAGCCATTTACCATTTCATTGTGTAACTACAGTATTTTCTTTAATGTAAAAATAGACAGTTGCATAGGCTAATCAGAACAAAAAAAATCAAATAATCATTTCAAAGGGGGGGGAAAAGACAAATTATTAGCATTGTGAAATAACCACATTTAAAAAAAACAATAAGATCCCTTCAGAAAGTGTGCTTGGAGTATAATGTATAAGACACAGACTGCAATTATCTTTGTGTTTTTATGTTAAACTATTGCTAAAGCATTGTGTCACCCACCCTTTGATAGGCTCAGTCCTGAGGTAAGCACCAATGTCATTTCGCTTTGATTAAGAGAGTTCAATCTGACCAAAATATAAAAAAAGAAAACAGAAACACTTTGAATAGCTGACATTCTACAGAGTAAAGCCCAGGTAATTTGTCCCAAATTACATGTTCAATATTCACAAAGCTCTAAAGCTTTTAGATTCACTAGTTCTTTCACAGTGCATTTGTGGTTTAAGTTTTCACATTCACCAACTGAGGTTGTAATTGTAACTAGTGGTTAACTAATTTTTTCCTCTAAGGTCTGGCAGAGGAAAAGACAAAAATGTCAACATGGTCTTTGGAATAAAAAACAGCGGGTGCCGTATCTTATTAGAGCATTTACATCTATGGTAAAACTATTTATTTAAGAGGCAAAGCAGATGAATTGTAAGACAGAAGGGAAGGAACCTAACTGGCTACTGTGTTTCATGTTGCTCGAAAGAAATGAAGGATTGATTGCTGTCAGTGTAGCTTATGATATGTTAGTGCAGTAGCTGGGGGATTAGGGTGTATGTTCAGATCACAGGGCCTGGTCAACTGGCATAAAATCTAACATTAGTGGAAAAGACAAGCGCGGATAGTCTTCGAAAATCTGAGATTTCACAGGGCTTACCCTGAGTGGACCAGCTGCTGCTATCTGCGCTCACAGTATCAGATAGAGAGAGAGAGCCCTGCTCCTCATGTTCAGATGGTTGTCACATTAACGGCTTTACGCGTGTGTGTGTGTGTGTGTGTGTGTGTGTGTGTGTGTGTGTGAGTGAGGCACCGCAGGGTTAAAGCCGTCACATTAGCCTGAAATTAACTGCACTGTAATAGGGGTGAGGAGGCCCTCTCAAACATTTCGCATAAGGAAAGGTCTTAAAGGTGTTGCTGAATCAATCACTTACAAAATGTCACTGTTTATATACACAAAAGTGCCTTCGCTGTGACCGTTAAACATCTAGTCATGCAGAGAATCTTTCAAAGGGGTCGACTGCAATACAACTGAAGCATATGGACTTTTCAAAGGCACCACCCATGCTTGGTCTGTCGCACCAGATGGACCGAAACACGTGGACGCAGATTGTTATATCATGATCGGAATATGCACAAAGATATTCCAGTTGTTGTGAGATCACAGGGCAGTACTTGCTACTTTTTCAATAAGCTTAAGGCACTTGGCGTCTGAGGAAAGGAAATTTAACAAAGACACTAAATAGCTCGGGACCATACACCTGAAGGTAAAAAAAAAAAAAATGAAATGGCACTCTCTGTGAACTATCATTCCACGCTGAAGGGGATAACTATATCAATGCAGAGAAAAGCTTAGATCACTTTACCTAAGTCCTGGAACAAACACTCTTCAGTTAGTTGCTCCCTTTAGTATGGAAAAAACTGGGCCATTCACAAAGCTGGAAAATCAGATACAGGTGATCCAGTACTCCGAAAAAATAGTCTATAAAAAGTCCTCCAATTACTATAAAATCCCAAAGATTTGGCTTTTTCTTTCGTCCAGATTACTCTCTCCATTCTGGACAGAAGCCCTGAATATTGTTCATATGTGCTTTTTCATTTTATATACACCAATAATACTTAGTACACAGGTTTAGGGTACGATTGCAACTCTCTTTTGTAACATTTGACATTTTCTCTTTGGCTTTTCATCATACAAAAAAAGGAAAATAAAATAAATAAAAAAACAATCTCTTTTTGGTTTTCAATTGGTTGTTTGGCTCGGTGATTGAACAAAAAAGAGTTTTTTTTAATTATTATTATATATAAATACTGCATTGTCTGAGTGTCCAACGGTCAAAACAGATTATAAATAAAGCAGTTTCCTCCTTTTTAGAAAAGTAATTTTTTTAAGAAATGCACGTACTGCAAAATCTGCAAAGAAAGGCACGTTCAGAACTAAACAGTTTTGTGCATTTTTATGGCCAACACATTCCGGCCTCCACTCTTTGAGGTGCAGGTTCAAATGAAGATGAGGTGAGAGTTGAATACTGTGAATGGTATACAGTGATGTCTCTTTAGAAAGTATAGTTAGTGGTTCCCCCCTCTAGCTGGGAGAGTAGCGGTCAATGGTGCGGGACTCTGCCGAGAGCTGCTGGGAAGTGGGCGGCAAAGACGGGTTCAGGATGTCCATCTTGTTGTGGGTGAGGCCGAGGTGTTCCACAGCCAGCTTTGACAGCGGGTAGAGGCTCTCCATAACTTTGGTGTCAGCCAGCAGGTGCTGAGAAGCTGCAAAAAGGTCTGAGGTTTTCTCCTGCTTCAGACCCAAATGCTCAGCGGCGTACTTGCTCAGGGGGTAAATACCCTCGGAGAAGTCCATCTTTAGCTTGCCGTCCGGTGTCAGTCCTCCACCAGCTGCTACACTGCTGTGCATCTTCATGTGACTGATGAGGTTGCGCTGCTGTGCAAACTTTCCGCCGCACACCTGGCACTCGTAGGGCTTCTCTCCGGAGTGGATGCGCATATGCTCCGTCAGACGGTACTGCCGAGTAAAGCGCATGCCGCAGGCGTCACAGGCGAAGGGCTTTAGGCCCAAATGGCTGCGCATGTGGCGTGTCATGGTACCACGTTGGGTGAACTTCTTGCCACAGATGCTACAGGGGTATGGGCGTGTAAGCCAGTGGGTTTTTTCATGCTGCCTCAGGGTGGCGGGATCTTTATAAGACTTGTCACAGGAAGAACAGCGATATGGTCGTATGATCTCCCCAAGTCCAATGGAATGGTGGTTTTGTGCCAACTTGTTGTCTAGGAAAGGGCTGTGGAGGCCACTAGTGCTGTTCAAGCTTGTAGGTCCATGGGCATTGGTAGGCTTGCTGCTGCTGTTGTTGTCCAGCTCACTCCCATTATTTAGCTCTTCCTCATTATGCGTTTCCACGTGAGCATTAAGCTGCTCTGAGCTGGGGAAGCCTTTGTCGCAAGGGATGCACACGTACAAGTTGTCCCCGAAACTCTCTGGCTCGTACGGCATGTGATATCTTCCACCTGGAACAGGTGGAGATGGACGACCCCCACTGCTCCCCGTCTCCTCGCTGCCGGTCCCATTCTCATCCTCTGCATCATCGCAAGTCCCCCTGTCATAGCCCAGCTCGCTCATATTCAGCTTTTCCTCGCTATTCTTATGGTGGTTCACGTGCTGGTGGTGTCTCTCTTTATCCTGTTCACCCATTCCTCCACTGTCATCGTCTTCGTCCTCCTCATCTTCGTCCTCTGGGTTGGAAGGCTCATTCTTCACCCACCGATAGATGCTGGACCCATCTCGACCTTGTTCTCTGGAGTCCTCCATGGGTTCTGGGCTGGGAGGGCAGGGGTAAGGTTCTTGGCCCTGAGGACGGTGCAGGTGGGGAAGATGAGGTGCAAGTGGATGATTGGGTAGGGGGAAGGGATGAGGGGTGAGAGACCCCGCATGATGGGCTGCCTCCATTTTTCTGGAACCATCGTTAGGACTGAGCAAAGGGCTGGTGCTTTGGTCTATCTCCCCCTCAGGCCCCTCCTCTGGGTGAAGTGAGGAGATCAAGTGGGGATGACCAGAAGGATGCTGGGATTGGGGGCTTTTCTTGGACAAGTCAAGGCCATAGACAGATGAGCAGTTCCTGTCAGTAGGGGCCAAGCGCAGGCCTGACTGTGGCGAAAGGGATGCCTTTGCTGGGGGGTATGGTGGTGGACCCTGGGTGTGAGCTGGTGCATAAATCTCTCCGCCATGGGGGGGCAGTGGGAGAGGGGGAAGGTCCTCTAATGGTGTAGGTCGAGGGGTGCTCACTACTGAGTGGATGACAGGGGGAGATATTCGAAACCGCCTTCCCCCCATGCCACTGGGGTCTATCTTGTATGGTAAAAACCCAGGGTTAGGACGTAAATGGTACTTCCCATTCCTCTTCAGCTTCTTCTTGCATAGAGTCACCAGATCCAGCAGTTGCAGGTAACTCGCAGCCGCCAGCACTGCACCTATATTTGGCTCAGTTGGTGAGGTGGGGTCACCTTCACTTAAGCGTCCTGTGTAAATATAGTCAAGAATGACTCGAAACACACCTGGACTGACCATTTCATGGTCCAGATTGATGAGATTGTCATGAACAACAAGAGACTTAAGGTAGAGGCTGCTGGCTGCCAGGATGTTCTTGTGAGCACGGAACAGTGCATTCTGCACCACAATGATAACATCACATAAGAAGCCTTTGGTTCGTTGTGTGTTCAATTGCAAGAGGAGGTGCCTAGCATGACTTGGGACTTCCATGGCATCCAGCATCGACTTCAGACCAATACCTGAAACAGAAGAGAAGTGCAACAATTAGAAGCCAGAAATTTGTTGCAGACAAATATAAACTACCAGATTTGGATGCTTATCAAATGCAGCTGAATGTTGCTTGCTTATTTGAGTACTGTGGTATAAGAGGCCATGCCTATTCCCTTTTTTTTTAAATAGCTGTTTTTTGAAATGTAACACACATTACTGACACACCTGTTCGTGTTAGACTACCTTGTAAAACTTGACTGGCAGGCCTTAAAGATATGAAAAAGAACACTTAAGCTTGTGTGCATTTTCTTGAGCCTGGATATGGTTCTTCATTTACTCTTTGATATATTTGTAGACTTTCAGGTAGGGAATTAAGGGAAAACAATTCAGCTTTTCCTTCAATACAACAAGCATCAGAAGAACTCCATAAAAGTGAGCTATAGCTGACCGAGTGAGACTGCAATGGTTTTGTCATTATCAAGATACAAACCCACATGTTTAAAACTTACAGCGAAGTAGTTAACAAAAAAAGAAAGAAAAAAGACAGAGGACAAATGCCAGTATAAACATGTTTTCATATTGCTGTCTTCCTGATAAAGAATTCCAGAAGTGGTGTGTAGAGTTTTAAACAAAGTCAGACTGAAGGTTTTGCAAGTGTGATGAACAGCAGGCATAAACCAGCAGGGACAAAAAAATGCAGCAAATTCATGACAGGACACTCTGCTGTAATATACTGTATAGAAGTGTGACTTACAAATCAACCCATTTTCAAATGATCACTTGTCAGAGGGTTCTTACAAGTTACTGCATAAACATTCAACCAACAATGGCAAGTTAAATTCTAAACTGAATGCAACAATTCACAAACCTAATATTTTCTGGTAAATTTGTAATGTTTATTGTTTAAACCCTGCTACGTAAGGATAGTCTGTAGATAAAACGGATATTTAGGGTCCCTCAGGGGGTGGTTTCACTGATGGGAAACAAGAAGCTAAATAAATACAGGCATAACAACATCAGTGCTTCCTCATTGTTTATTTCATTGTATAAAATAATCCTCTAAGATGAATACTGTAGTTTGTAGTGATAAGCTTCCATTTAATTAGCCCTTAAATCCAGCAATGCAATCCCTATAAATTCAACCACAACTCCAAGCATGAATAATACTTAAACAAACAGTTGCCAAAAAATAAGTTATATACAACGTGTGAATTATTCAATGACTTTTAGTGGTTTGACTTTTTAAAGAAATTCCTGTCAGTAATTTTATGGTTATTCATCTCCTATAACCCATTAAAACAACATTCAGGAATTTACTTGTGTGTGTGTTCTTGTAAATATGTTTTATGAGGTCACAAATTTGTATGATAACATGTGTATTATAATGTAAATATTGTAGTTGTCTGAAACTGATCTTGAGGGAACAAGCTCAAACTGTTTCTAAGGTAACCTCATCAGGCTAACCCCAACTAAACAGTTGAAATGTAGGCCTGTACTTAAATGCAAAAAAGATACATAGCCTACTGTTAAGAAACCAAGTTATAATTAGTCTCTGAGGGGAGGGGGTGTCAGATCCCCTCAAACCCCCCCATATAGGCCTAACCCCTGGTAACATGACTTTCTGGTTTCCACTATTCCTAATTATTTAAATTGAAACAGTAAATGCTGATTGAAACACATAAAAAGCTCCATCTCTGTCTCTCCCGCACTGTAGAGAAGCACGAGGACGCGCTTGAGGCAGAGAAACCAAACATGGGCAGAATTAAAGTTCGTCTATTAAAAAAAAATTAAAAAAATAATATTAAAATATGAATAATATAAAAATAATCTAAAAACGATTAACCCATCCGTGTAGGCCTACCTACATTTTTGTGACAACTTTTTTTTTCCATTTAGCCCGGTGCCAAAAAAAAAAAAAAAAAAAAAAAAAAAAACATTTTTAACGGTTTTAAACGATTTCATAACATTTCCGTCTTGTGGAAATAATGCCGGAGCTGGTTAGGCTATTTTCGGTCTGCAGTGCACCTGTAGGCTATAGCCTACTTTTCTCCTTTATGTCAGCCTGACCATTCGAGTTACAGGTTATTCAATACAATTTTGCTCATTCATAAATCATGTATTCCGTTTAATTTAGCCTACATGATTTAACCGCGCGTCATTTATAGTTGTTTTTAAACGATTAGCTATATAATTGCATGATTTGTTATTAGGCCTGTATAAAAGAGGACACTTTCACGACCGCACAGAAACAAAGAGACGAAATTACATCAATTGCTAGTTGGAGACAAACAATGAAGCGCCTAAACCAAACATTACCCGCAACATTTCCTCTCAGGCCGCATCTGTCTTCACCGCCTGTCTTAATAAAAGCAGTATTAAACGTTGTGTAACTCATCTCCTCCCCTGCTGCCCACGGACACGTCTCATCACTGACAGGTGTATTTTAAGGTGAATAGCCATTTTTGGCTCATGGTCTTTCCATTAGTGAGAGTTTGAGAAAGCAGCAGATACGAGCGAATGATTTACAGCGATTCATCCCGTATACTGTCCCGAACGTGCTGCTTTAACAACTTCTATTAAGCACAAGAAGATGACAAAATAGAAGGAAAAATGTAAACAAGATAGAAAGGAAATGGAAAGTGGGCTGTGTTTAAGCCTTCACCTGAAAGTTTTTTTATAAGAAATACAAAGAACGAAAATTAGTCAGACAGTCAGTGTTGTCAACAAACATAATAAAATCCTTTCATACCTTCAACGTGTTAAGATTAAAAGGGAAGTGATGAAAGACGTGTTTTAAAATGACTGTTTAAACTTCATCGTAAACACTTAGCTACTTCCTCTCAATCATAGCCTATCACCTTTCGGATTTACATTACGCGTCTTTAAAACACACGTTTAAGCATCAGAGAATATGATTTGAGAATCGACTCATTTAAATTTAGCCTTTTTAAAAAAAACGTCTCAACAAAAGTGTTTTTGATCTAAACTTTAGAAATATTAGCCTAAATAATGGGTCGTCAATCTCAAAAACATTTTCCTGAATAAATAAAGTTAATTTGAATAACTAATTTGAATATAAACGGGCCTACAAACGCTACCGATGCTCAATAAAATGTCACTTGTTTGGGTGTGCAGTGCATCATGCGACAGCTTGGTCTTGCTATATTTGGTATGGTATGGACTGGATTAAAGACAGTGCATGGGTCATATTTTAGGTGCTTTGGTATTCATTAGCCCTGTGTTTTGTCTCTGTTGTCATTTTGCTGGTTTAGGGGCGAGGCAGGGGTCTGCTCGTGTTCTTAAGACTTCCTCTCTCACTTTCTCTCTCTCCGCCCTCGGTCTGTCATCTTTCTTTCTTTCTTTTTTTTTTTTTTTTTTACCGCAAAAGCGTCCTCCCTTAGAGATTTATCCCGTAGAATGAGTCTAATGTGCCTTTAAGGAAAATTCAATCAGTCATAAAGCATATCTTTCAAAATTGCTTAAGTGGCGTATTTTAGACGTTGTAGCCTAAACACGAGAAACACAAGAAATTTAGGCCTGTAAAAAAATGTTTTTTTTTTTTTTTTTAAGAAAAGGAATGGACAAAATACAAAAATAAGTATAAAATATGTATAATTTAAAGAATGTTGGTCCAATAATTTGGAATAATTAATTTTAATATAGCCTACAAGTGTTCAATAAATAAAAATAGAATAAAAATGGTTTAAATTAGTTTTTAATTGATGTCAGTTTTAAGTGTTTTAAAAGAGTTTGCAATAACTTATTTTTCAAGTTTCACTGTTTCCTAATACATGCTAGTTTTGTGAATGGAAGGTAAAACCTGCGCAAAACCTCTTGGCACCAAGAAGCGAACGTTTGTCTTGGATCGTGCCTGTTTAAAGTGGTTTAAAGTCAAACAGCAAAACAACTGAGATTTATCGACCATTTTGCATATATTTTGAAGGTTGGAGCTTGGAAAAGAGCATATCATGCGTTACAGACTCCTCTTCCACAGCTTGTCTTATTGCGATCATATTCTCTCGCGCGCTCCATCAGCACACGCAGCTCTGGATATTCATTCATAAATAACCTACTGGGAGGATTTGCTCACCATCCCCATATGTGGCCTCTATGGTCAGGGATGAGATGGAAATAGGCTATTCTAACCACATATCACATAATCTAGGCCTATATCGGTTTTATGTTGTAGGCTACCTTATAGCATAATAATCTCTTGGATGGAGTGTATTAGAGAAGTTGAAAATAAAATAAAAAATCTAGGCAAGCATGTGAATATTCTCACTCTTTCTATGAGCATGTTACACTTAATTAAAGTGAAAAAATATATATATTATAAACAATATATTATGCCATACAATTATTTCTTAGTTTTGCATCTAGGATTAGGATGGTCTTTAAAAATATATTTGTTTGACTCCGTATAAAACTAAATTATATCACTCAATTACATCCTTAGTTTTCAGTGAACAAATTACATTATCGAGAGGTAATCTATAAACGTGCAGAAATGTTCAGTATAACAGAGAATCTAATCTAAAATAGCCTAAGTGACATCAACAATCTAAGACTCTCAAAACATGCAGAATTTAAATTGTTCATTTACGTGCAGACTGAACTTTAAGCAAGACATCTTGTGGGTCTTTAAAGTCAAATCACTCGCATGTGAAACACCATGAATTCTCAATTAAGGATGAGCTGAGAGTCCCGTCACTGTGATGATCACACCGCCAATCACCGATCACAACACTTCTGCATTCATAATGCGATTAAACTTGTACTTTGTAATTAAGTCCCTTGTTCGCTTTCTCATGGCAATAAATGAAAACTTTACCGTTTCTAAATATTTTCAAACTTTTACCTCCAAAAAAGTAAGTAGGCTATTTGCATGTTGAAAATAATCGCTGGGTTAATAACAGCATATTGTAAAATAGCCTACAAAATACCGAAAGGCAAACAATCGGGTCTTCAATTTTTAAAACATTTACATCTAACTCTAAAAGTTTTGACAATTTAAACAGTTTAATCAGTTACTCAGAATAATATTATGCATAACTATGAATAAAGCGTTGATAAAGAGGCTATAGCAAAAATGTTAAGAGCATTGAACGTTACCTGGATGCCCGATCTCTTCTGCCATCCGATCTAAGTCTCCCTTAATGATCATCTCAACAGTCTTTTGGAGTCATTTCTGACGTTTCAACTTTGAACTGCCAGCCTCCCAAAAACCATGCCAGTTTTCCGAGCACGACTGCCAACTCTTTTTTATTATTAATTGCAATGAATTTCGTGTTGCTCACCCTCCCTCTTGCGCTCTGTCCCTCCTCCTCCTATCTCTCTCTCTCTCTCTCTCTCACTCTCTCACTCACTCACTCACTCCTCCTATAAAAATACGTGCGTACTCCTCCATCAGTTTTCCTCCTTTTTTTGTATGTTTTGTAATTTCCTTGTCTATTTTTGCATGGATGTAATAACGCGACTGGAGATGATAATGGGCTTCTGGGCTGTGTGAGTGTTTTAGCGCCTCGTGTGATGTCAGTCTAAAACTAAAAGGTAAAATCGAGGGCAGGAACTTAGAGTGACCCCAACTTGAACTTCTCAACACATCGAGGCTTCGTCTTAAAGAGACAGGCGTTTTATCGTATCAACAATTTTTACGTTATAGAGTATGACTGTGAACTATTTAAACGGATAGCCTAATGGTGGCCATAACTTCTGTATTGAGTTCCTGATAATGTTATTCAGGGAAATAAATACTGAAACGGCACACCCCCGTCTGTATGTTTACTCACAAATACACGGATTAACTTTTGCATTAAAATGTATGTCTTATTTAAATCTTATTAATTTGATACAGTTGCAGAACAGTTGGAAATAAGCTCCATCATGTTGTATGGCTGTACCATGGTATTTTTTTGGAAGAACCTTGAGGAATATGTAGCCATATTAAAGTACCTTGGTACTGCCTTGATACTTTTGGTTACACTTTATTTTCAGGTGACGTAGTTACACTTACTCAAATAAGTAGGCTGAGTAATATTAGTTTAACACGTACAAACAGTGACAGTTAAAGTTTGGTTTGTAATACTGTTATTACTAGTAAGGACAATGTAGTATGTGTAAAACTTAAAATAAAGTGCAATAGTAGTTTTTTGTACATGAACTTAGATGCAAGCAATGTTTTCTCAAACAATTAGATGCCCTTGACACTGAAGTTGAAAAATTCTATCTTTAATTATTATCTGATTCAAGATTTGTTTAATTATTTGTTAATTTATTTGTGTATCTGTAGCATCAGTAGGCTATTATCTATCTTTAGCGACACAATTCATAACTCACACACTTTTACACAGGCATTTATTTGATCCAGATATTTAGACAGAAAAGTTGCAGAAATTATCCAGACTGCATCACCCAACACACTGATAACAAAAAAAAGAAATGTAGTCTTATGATGTAACTACACCACTGGAAATTTTGTTAGCTTCAATTATAGATATATGTCATCTTCATTTTATTTAGCTAATTGTTTATTCTGTAAATTCAGGCTCAAGTAAGATTATTCTTTTTATTAGCAGGTCTAATGTCAGTGTAATAGATGTCATGGCGTATTGACAGCTCACAGTTTATTCCTAACTCTTAAGAAAAAAGGTTTTGAATTCAGTACTGGTGCTTTAAAGAACCCATAAACCACTGGTCTTAAGAACCCATAATGTGACATTAATAACAATATTTTTTATTTCCAAAAAAAAAAAAAAAAAACAATATAGGCTAACTCATACAAAACCACACATTGTTTAAAAAACGGCTCTTCATCAGGATAAGGTTCCTACTTGAACTCTTGGCTGAACTTTAAAACTCTTGAAGAACCTTTATTTTTAAGCATATATATTGATCAGTTTTGTTCTAACAGCTATAAGCAGACTGAATGAAATATGTAGTATGTAGCCTAATAGTAATAGTAAGATGTGATAAATGGTGGTAAGCTGTGTTTTGTTTTGTTTTATTTGTTGTCAAATTTTGGGATGAAAACATTTTAAGACATTTTGTATATGTGTATTTTAAGATCCATACTAAGTAGTATTTAAAAAAAAAAAAAAAAAACCCGATTAAAAAGTACAATAAGTTTTCCTGCTGTCCAGACACGCCTGCATGCACGAGCGCCAGTTATCGTAATCTATCAGGTAGTATGTTGGCACGCGCTCACATAGCACACCTGAACGCGCCGCAGGTAACTCACACGATACATTCATTAACATAAACTCACCTCGGATTCATGTCTGATGCTCTTGCCGATCTTTACTTTCCCTTTACGGGATTTCCCCTGTCCAAAGATCCCCAATCGTCCAAATTCCTCTTTAAAACGTAAACCTTTCCCGGTGGTACCAGCTTCTTCCGTGTTGTCCCTTGTCCTTTACCCTTCTCCCCTTCTCTCTCCCTCTCCTCGTGTTAGAATGGATCGGACACTTGAGAATCTGGATGGACTCTGATTGGCGTTCGTCCTCAGAATCATTACAGGCTGCGCGCGCAGCGACACCTAATGGCTTATATTATATCAGATTATAATGTCTAATTTACTTACCTTCGTCATAAAATGTGACATGCATTTCTAAACTAACATAAGCACATTCTTTTTTTTTCTTTTTTTTTTGGATGTAATTAACAGTGGTAGAATTCAAAATGAAATATCTGGTACGGTATCTGTAACGAGTAAGTCACCTTTATAACGCTGTTTCAGCTTTACAATGATAAACAGGAAAATAATGATCGATAATACAAACAGAATTCAATTTTTCCGTAAAGCATATATAAAAAAGAAAATAGTGTGATTATACCAAGTTACATTAAAATTGCAAGGCATTTAATATCGCATGCCAATATATTCCCACTGCAACATTCCAAATGTTGTCCTCTTTTTTTTATTGTACAGGGAGAATGCAAAATATACATTAACCTTAGAAAGGAGAGCTGCATTTTAGCAGGTTGTAGCACTTGTAGTTTATAGTCGCAGGCTGATACAAATGGCAAACAAATACACATATTGAAAAATACATGTAATCCTATCCCTGTCTCTAATAAATTATCCCTAAAATCAGAGGGAAATGATAAGTGAATAACACTGATGTAGAAGCACCTAACCTGTTGTAACCCTATAAACTTGACATAAACATTTTATATATATATATATATATATATATATTTATATATATATGCATCAGAATTTATGTTTTTGTTAAAGATCATTGTAACCACATGAAACATTTCACCCGTTCTTGTTTTTTGAAGTGAGGATTTTGTGGTGTTAAATTCTTTAACAAGTTCTTAAATAACTTTATTTCTTTCAGGTTATTTATTTATCATATTCCCCTTTATTTATCACATATCCTATAATTTTTAGTACAGTTTTATTTTGAGTGAATACTGTTGTGGTAGAAAAGTGTCTTTTAAGGACTTTTTTCTTTTGAGACTTTGGAGTATTTCATGTTTTATAAGGCCTTAATTCATGCATAACCTTGCTGCACACAGTTTTAATAGTTATTAATATTGTTCTCGTAAGAAACATGGCAACTATATACACCTTCAGTTTGACTGCCTAGTAAATTTAAGACAGAGATTCCCATGGTGTCATGTTTTGTCATTATTTTTGCTATCACTTTGTGGCGTCTCTCGTTTGTTGTTGATCGCTGAGATGAAAGTGTTTTTTTTTCGTGGGGCACTCAGCTGGCAGAAGCCTTTTCATGTCCCAACCTGCACCCCAGGACCTTGAATTACTCTAACAGCTGACTGACATCTGTTTCCTGGTCTCTCTCCTGAAATTACTGCAGTTCAAGATGCTGCTTTTTAATTAGAATAGTCAAACTCATTGCAGTCTGGCTTTACTGAGGTGAATGTATTGTCTTTCACTTCCAGTTTCTCTTGATGAACTTATGATAACCTTAAAAAACAGAGATAGGCAGAGCTAGACAAAGGACAGATCAGGGTACAAACAGCACCTGGATGTTTTTCAGGTCACTTGTTATGGCGTTGTTACGGTGTGGTATAAAATTCACTGCCCATATGTTGGAGAGAAACAATGGGATCAGTGGCTCGAAATAGCCAAGTTGTTAAATATAATTGCCGAATTTCACCACTGACCTTGACCCATGTGACACCAAAGTCGTTTGGCTCCGTTATGTTTATTGTTTGTTTACTGGCTCGTTATATTTGCCAAAGTCAGCTTTTTCGCTTTCTTGAGGACACATTGGGCCTCATTCATGCAACATGAGCAGAACGAATTTCTAACCATTCTTACATAAAGTCGCATTCAGTTAACATATAAAAATGTACACACAAATTTGATTCCCAGTATGCGCACAAGCAAAATTTTAATTTGGAAACACTTCAGACATCACATAGCCAATTTCTCTGATCGACAGAGGAGACTGCAAGACTTTATCTCAGCAATCACAGTTACCTCCCCGCAGCCATGGAGCTAGCTATGAATACGCTCTTTAACATCTATTAGAAACTGATCTGAATTCCTAATGCATCAACAACAGGTGAATGCCTCCTACTCACTGGTGTTAACAGTGATTAAGTGAATGAAAGCTGTTAAAACGTTAACCAGGCCTGCCACTGGATCACAGAGCACACATGCCCAACCACTGACACATAATATTCAGCCGTCACATACTAAACAACACACCTACTATTGTTTATTTGAATGTGCACACGTGTGTCGGAAACATTTGTAAATGTGAAAAAGTGTGACAGGATTGTGTGTAAGAGATGGAGAGAGTGCAAGAGAGCTGAACAAATTTTGTTTTAACAAGTGGGATGTTTATGTGCAGCATGTTAAACTTTATTGGCCGTGTGCATGAGTGATATTGGTCTGTGAGTGGGTCTGTGAGACTGCACTTTTCTGTCAAAGTTGAAAATAGTCTGAGGAATGCCTGACTTGGGACCAACGCATCAAGTTTAAGTATGCATAGGGAATGACTAATAGCATTCCACTCAATTTACTGTAACATTGTTGTTTCCGAGCATAAGGCCTACCGTTAAAGCAAGGGCGAATTACGGTTCTTCAAATCTCAGGTGCACTAGCATCGCTGGAGGCCTCCGGTTGTTGCAATTATGAGGAAAAATCCTTATAAATAAATGAATAATAATATAAAATTTAAATAAATCCATAGAAAATGATAAACCATAATACAGAATTATAATAATTGAAAAAATAAATAATAACATAGATAAAAATAACAATGATATAAATAAAAATAAATCAATAAATGAATAGCCTAATTTAAAAAAAATGAACCATCATAGAGATGACAATTTATTAATAAACAGAAAAAATATTATTATAAATTATAAATATGAACTAATTAATTAATAAATAAATGTAAATAATAATTGATCATAAAAAGTAATAACTATTGAAAAATACTTAAATACCAGTAATAATGAAGGCGCATAAATAAACAATAGCCTACAGAATAGTTAACAAAAAATATAAACATATCAATATAAATTAATTAATAAATAATA